ACTCTACAGATGAGGGTACGAAGGCCCTAGATGACATAAGGCAAGTTTTTTAACCAGAAAAGTTAAGGCTGTGGTACTGGGATTTGAATTCTGCTGTTTGACCTCAAAGCCTTCTGTTTTTACTATACACCTTTTAAAAATTTACGGCTGTGTGTGTGTGTGCATATGTGTGCATGTATGAATTTATGTTTATATACTTAAAAAAAATTTTTTTTGAAACAGAATCTCGCTCTGTTGCCCAGGCTGGAGTGCAGTGGCACGATCTCGGCTCACTGCAATCTCTGCCTCCCAGGTTCAAGCGATTCTCCTGCCTGAGTAGCTGGGATTATAGGCGTCCACCACCACCCCCGGCTAATTTTTGTGTTTTTAGTAGAGATGGGGTTTCACCATATTGGCCAGACTGGTCTCAAACTCCTGACCTGTGATCCGCCCGTTTCAGCCTCCCAAAGTGCTAGGATTAAAGGTGTGAGCCACTGCGCCCGGCCTATGTTTATATACTTTTTAAAGTAAATGATTTGTGAATAAACCTGATTTTTTTCCCTCCTACCATCTTAGTATCTAATGCTTTTAAAGGAGCTTCCTGGAGAAGAGTACCCCTTGCCAATGGAAGATGTTGTTGAACTTCTGAAACCACTATCGTAAGAAATTAAAACCTTATGTTATGTTCACTTTAAATTTATAAAATAACCAATGTGTTCTGTTAAGCTTATAAAGTTAAACTTTTTTTTACCACAGCAATGTGTGTTCTTTGTATCGTCGTGACCAAGATGTTTGTAAAACTATTTTAAACCATGTCCTTCATATAGTGAAAAACCTAGGTCAAAGCAATATGGACTCTGAGAATACAAGGGATGCTCAAGGACAGTTTCTTACAGTAATTGGAGCATTTTGGTAGGTACAGTCTACTTTGTGGTCTTATTTTTCTTTTGCTATCTGTGGATACAAATGCAAATTTTGTATCCACATCAGTGATTTCTTCTCATCTTCCTACATAGCTAATACATCTTTTAAGAATAGCAGAATGTAATTTGTGTTTCCATCAGTTGCTTGAATAACTACATTGCTTTTTGTTTAAGGCTTGGCTTTCTAAACTGTTTAACTCCTTTCTCTGCAAATTTTGAATCACTTAATAATTTGACATGTATAGTGAATAAAGAAAGGACAACAAGCCAAAATCAGCTGAATTGTTCATGTTCCCAGAGTGAACAGATTGGCCTTGTTCTTATCTGGTTATTTTATGCATATTTTCACATTCCGAGATAACACCATGATACTTACAGAGGAGCACATACATATAATTTAGAACCCTTGTACTATTTGATTGATGAGTAATTCTAAATCAATAGAATGTTTTTTGTTTTTGTGTTATTTTTAGACAGAGTCTCACTCCATCACCCAGGCTGGAGTGCAGTGGTGCTATATCTGCTCACTGCAACCTCTACCTACTAGGTTCAAGCAATTCTCCTGCCTCAGCCTCCTAGGCAGCTGTGATTACAGGCTCCCGCCAGAACGCCTGGCTTATTTTTTTGTATTTTTAGTAGAAATGGGGTTTCAACATGTTGGCCAGGCTGGTCCCAAACTCCTGATCTCAAGTGATCCACCCACCTCGGCATCCCAAAGTGTTGGGATTACAGGCGTGAGCCAGTGCACCTGGCCTGAATGTGATTTTGAAATCTTCAATATACCAAACAAAACTTTAACAAAGAAATTTCTTTCTAAAGTAAGTTTACTATAATGTGGTTAGCCATTCTATGGTAGCCCCTGAAAAAGAGACATAATGGTATAAAATGAATAATATACACTAAAATGAATTCTTTCAAACTAATTTCTTTTAGCTTGAATTTTTGGGAGGGTGAGTATGTTGGTATATTCCACATAATGACAAATAAGTTTAGCACAGAAAGACATATTGGAAGCAATTTATAATAATCTTCATATTCAGTGAATTTTCTGAGTGCTTTTATCAGAATGATTATTTAACTTTGGAAAACTTACTTGATTTCAGGCATCTAACAAAGGAGAGGAAATATACATTCTCTGTAAGAATGGCCCTAGTAAACTGCCTTAAAACTTTGCTTGAGGTGAGTTTTTACATTTTATTAGTAAGATCTTCATTGAAAAATTTAAAGCAGTTTTTGTTTGTTAATGAGTAATTTTTCTCTACTTCGTATTTAACCTCAGTTCTTTTCCCATAGGCCGATCCTTATTCAAAATGGGCCATTCTTAATGTAATGGGAAAAGACTTTCCTGTAAACGAAGTATTTACACAATTTCTTGCTGATAATCATCACCGAGTTCGAATGTTGGCTGCAGAGTCAATCAATAGGTAATGGGTCAGATATTCATGAAGTATTTGGAATGCTGCAGATGGCAGTGGAATGTCTTACATAGTAACAGCTCACAGTTGAGATATTAAAAATAGCTAACACTTGTTGAGTATATACAGTGTGCCTGGCATTTATGTTTATTCTTAATTCTTACACTTCTGTAACTTAGATTCTATTATTTCCTTCAATTTATAAATGAAAACTGTGACTTAGTGAGGTAAAGTAACTTGCTTATGCCACAGAGCTAACAAGTGGTTGACTTGAGTGACGTGTGTCTACTACCACGTACAGGAGATACGGACTGTTTGGAAATTACTGTGATTTTATGT